GCTAGAATAATACTCCCTCTACTCCTTGTTTAATTGAATGACGACTCGAGAAGCAAACTCCCCTGATGTTGATTAAACTCGCTACAAAAATTCATGAGGCTTCAGCTCTCTCGCCGGCGAAATTACGATGAAATTATAAGGAATGTTTACAGACTAGTCTTGAGTCTCTAGAAGGGAATAAATATTCAATATACCCGGGAAAATTAGGGAATTTTGATGTCGGGGAAGCTTTTTCTGCATACCTAATGCCTGTAATCGATCGAATGTCGAAAGTATCTGGACCTTTTTGTTTGGTTTTTCATTGAAGAAACTTTAGCGAAACAGGAAAAGACTTTGCTAAAAGATTAAATAAAAAATAAATCTTATTGTTTTGAATTATCTAAATAAGAATACAATCAGAAGTCGAAACTAAGCAATGTACCTTTTGACAGGTTTATCGGTCTGTTTGCCTAAAAGAGTAGAAACATTTTCAAAACAGAGCAATAACAAAATTAACGTAAAAAAGGAAGGTAAAAATAAGAATAAGAAGAAGAAATAAGTCGACAATTTGTCCGCCCGTTGTTTGGAACTTTTTAACGCCTTTTAAACTTTCTCATTAATATTTAAACGCGTTATTTTTGTTTCGAATTTCTTGGAAATGCTACAGCAGGAGGGTTTTGCGCTTATTTTCTTTCCGGCGTACTCGGGTAATTTTGCGAAATAATCCCTCCACCAAATTTTTTGGATTTTTTTTAGGGGATCATAATTAAAAGTTTGAAGTTTATGCTGCCACTTATAAAAAACACTTCTTAAAAAAATAGCAATATTTTATACATATTTTAAAATTAGCATAAAAAACTCTACATAGAGCAGTTTTTATTATTATGATAAAATATGATGAATAAAGCAAGATACAGAATGTACTAGACTTTTCAATTTTGCCCTGTATAACAACATCTAAGTTAGCTATGATAATTTTGAATCGTTTGTTTCATGAAAAAAGTTTAGATAGAATGTGAAAACTGGGATAATTGAAATTGGGATATCGGGCAGCCGCCATTTTCAGTTAATTTTATTTATTGACTATAGACTATTTGACTATGAATCACCATTTACATTAATTAATAAATATTACAACTGCAGATCCGTAATTAATACTTAAAAAATATTCAATAATTTATTTTCTAAATTTTTCAAAATACTGTTATTACCTTTCTCAACGAATCGCCTTGAATAATATAATAATGTTTTTTACTATTCCCGTAATACAGGATTTCATAAACGAACGAAAAATAGGTAAAAGAATAAAGAGTCTTTTGCTTGATGATATTGTTGTGAGCGAGAACAAGGAAAGTTCCGATTACACACACTTCCGATTACAAAAATGGATGGCATGCGTTTATAAGGAAACTAAATAAGGCTCGTGTTTTCTGAGCAATATCGTTTTTAAGACAAGCAGTGTTATTATAGAATTATTATAGAACGTTGACAAAAACTGGGGCTTGTTATAGAACGTAGAAATACAAATTTACAAAAAATCTCAGCGTTATTAATGGTAGTCGTGATTATTTATTAAACCGGAAAGTCTTTTTGATGTCCTTCGTCCCTATGATGCCTTTCAATATAGCACTTCCGATATAACGATACACCAATAGAAGAAAAAGAACACATCCAATTCCTTAAGCAGCATTGGCAAAGCAGGTAAGGTAAATCGGCTATTTCCTTATCCTTTGATGAACGTACTGATGGAAATTCCGGAGGAAAAATATTCGTATGACCTACGGAAAGGTCCATGTATTATACAAATTTATTTTCCTGTATCGTAAATCTGCCATCTTGACTGATTCGTTAAATAAAGAACGTTAAATGAACGTTAAACGTTAAAGAACCCTTAGGTTTTTTAGATATTTTCCTCTTTTATAAAACCAAATAATGAACAAATAGATATACACCTATACAAATATAGGTACCTACTAAAAGGAATAAAATGCTACTAAAAAAATTAGGATCACATTTTTATGTTGAAGAATGTCAATTTATAATTTAGTTGGATGTGTTTCGGGATTTTCTATTATAAATAACCGAAAAAATGAATTTATGCCATTTGGCGTTTCCACACTGTATGTAGTTATATATTTTTTAAGAATTAATTCTCTACACCCATGCAGAGAATTCTCTTACAATATTGCCGAGAAAGTATGCTTATACTTTATTCATGATCAGTTTTAGTATAAAATATGTAAGACGAAAGTTTGTTCGGATCAGGCGATTTTACTGCAGAGTGCACTCAATTTATTTTCGGAAATTGTCTACTTGATCGACTTTTAGAAATTAGTTTCCTACATACCTATGTGCACACGGTTATTTCCGGGAATATTTCCTTTGTAGCAATTTTCATATGGCGAAAGCATATTTTCCTGTTACTTACAGAGCATTCGCTCGATTGTAGAAAATATTGGAGAAAATAGATTTTTCAATTCACTCAAACAGTCATGCACTCAAACAATGGTTGAGGGAACTTTCAAAGTCTCATTATATCTTAACGAAAAATAAACTTTCTATTTGTCTTCTCATACGAGATACTTCTCCTGTCCAAAAAAAATTGTATTCCATGGAACAGACAGAAATCAAATGGGGAATCATATTCCATTCAAATTCACTCAGACTTTATGCCGTCATCTTTGCTGTTGAGATGGTACACTATTAAATTAAACGCGATAAAATTGGACGTAGAGCGAGCGTCATTAACTGTACTAGACCGTCAGCTGGAAATGTGAATTTGGCAAAAATGAAAGATTACCGCGGTTTTTTATGGGTTTTCTCGCACCGCCGAACGGGAGTTTGTTTTATTGAAACGGGGATAATAATAATAATACATGTTAGGAATAGTTTACTGTTATTAGTTGATTTTGTTATCCTTTTGTATACAGTGTGTCCACGGATGGGGTTGCCTATAGGAAAAAAAATTATTATTCATTTTACGACAAAAAATCATTGTTTATAAAAATTTTTGCTTCTTTTAAAAATGAGAATAACACTGAAAAATCTTAGGTTAGATCTACAGGGTGTTGCCAAATTAAGAAAACATGAAAATACCTCAAGAGAGAAGTACCATTATTTTTTATTTTACACAAAATTTTTATAAAAGAAAGTTGTTTATAATTTAAAATAAAGCCTCAATACAAATTTTCAAATTAAAATTCCAATTTTGTGTGTCCCTAGATAAAGTTGACCAGATAAGAATAATGGTTATTATTAATTTTACGAATTATGAAATTCACATATCAAAACATTAAATATGATGTAAAGGGTGTTAGAAATTAGTGACTGACAACGGTAAACAAATATACAAAGGGATAACAAAATCAACTAATAACAGTAAACTATTCCTAACATGTATTATTATTAAAATCTAGCAAAAATTTAATTTTATATTCTATCTAAACCGTCCATTACATGCATTTGCTCAATGCCTAAAAATACGGGGTCATCAATTTTATATAACAAAGTTACATCCACTTTATAGCCGAGTTAGTCAGACAATTTTAAACGCCCTGTAAATAAACCATAAAAACTTTATTTTCTTTCAATACAGTGTCTGGACATTCTCGATACCAAATTTTAAACTTCTTGGTGCATTATTAACAGAGATACCTTAGATACTGCATTGACCTTTTTCTAAAAAAAAAATCGAAAAACTAAAAATAAAGCGGTCCCTAAACGTACCATCAAGTTGATCACTTATTAGCACAAACTTGTGGACCATACATACATGTTTATCCCCTACATTGTAATTTTTTTAGTGAGAGTGAATTTTATAAAGTTTGCACAAACGAAGTTTGACCATGTAGTATCGCAATTTAAGAATTTAATTATACATGTTGAAAATACAAAATTCATATTTTAGTCATCCCAATATGTTTATAACAATAGGTTGGTATGAAATGTTTCTTCAAGTTTGTTCGATGGTAGTGAAATTATTTGTTTGCACAAACAAATTCATGTTAATAAAAACAATATAAAACCAAATTCAAACAAGTTATAGTCATTTTTTTCTAACTAGATGGAATTTCAAACTAGATTTCAAACTGGATGGAATAATTATGATGGCCAACTTATGTTTGGGCAAACAAAATTTACACAATATGTTTTATTTTACTAGTGTGAACGTTTAGTTTAAAAACAATACTTGTATGTACAATTAAGTAATGCTAACTTATTGTCAGGTTTAGGGGCCGCTAAACTTAAAATACCGAAGTTGACCTCTACTTCAGGTATAACCGAATGTCACATATGGTTGAAAATATTTTAGAAAAACTCAAAAAACTAGAAAAACATTGATTATCCTTTACTCCTAAATTTTCAGTTCTCTAACTCTTCAGGATCTCCTATAACTTCTAATGAACGGTTTCCTTGAGAAGCACTGTATATGTATGTCTATATTTTCTATTAATTATCGTTACACAAAGCCAAGCAAACAAAGAACTTCATCTGTTTGAAGTCAAAATTGGCACAAAAAGTGCAAAATTGAAAAGTATAACTTTAAAGACTTTTTTTTTAATTGAAGAAGTTTTCTTTGTGATTTGCAATCGATTTTTCGACAAACTGAAAGTTCGAAGGCGAACAAAACGATCATAAACATGTACCGTTGTTCCGATTTAATAATAGAAGCAACTGGAATTTATCTGGATAAGAGCAAACAGTCTCTTATCCATACACTCTTCTCGACTTAATTGAACTATTCTATTAGCGAGGCTTTTCCTTTAGGGTTGCTAGTTTCGATTCCAATAAGTTTAATGTTGTGAGAAGTATGATACTATTTTATTTTGTAATTAGAAAATGATAAAATTAAATAAAACGTAAACCTTGTATAGACAGAACACACACGATGTCCAATGAGTACGAAAACGGTTGATTTTTAGTCAAATTTAAGGCAAATTAGTTTTTAAACAGAGTATAGGTACAGATGTTTAGAACAAAATATACAGAACATTTGTATGGCATATATTTTTTTATTTCAGCCAGTTATACTGCAGCTCTACGTTTGAAAAGCATGTCAGTGCCTATGGTTGCGGATTTGCGAGACATAATGGAGCTCGATTGCCACTTTGATATGGGCAAGGAGGAATTATATGCCGTGAAATGGTACAAGGATGACCAGGAATTTTTCAGGTAAATATGCAGATATTTAGCGAAATTTAAATCAATTGTCAAGAATAAAAAATACGAGAAATATATCGTATATTGATTATCTTTAAGTTAAAAAAGAAGTTTTTCAATTTTACCAAAATTAAGCAAGCTGTTCGACTGGTTTTTGCGCAGGTACATGCCCGGTGGTCAAGAGAGAACGCGGGTGTTTCCGGTACCAGGAGTTAATGTGGAAATGCGCACCGTCGAATGTAACCAGCGTAGATGCAAGATCAGTCTGAAAGATTTGACGAGAATGCACAGTGGCGGCGCTTACAGGTGTGAAATTTCAAGCGAAGCACCTGCTTTCAGATTGACATCGGAAACTCGCAACGTAACAGTAGCTGGTAAGTATATCATGCATTTTGATTTTTGCAGGTTAAAAAATACCAAATGCTCGATAAAGACATTTACAAAGCGTTAAAAATAATTAAAAACGACTTTTATTTTTTACAAAATTATACTGCGCTTTTTTACAGCAACAGTTCATTAGAACTTACAATAAAAAATTATCACATAGTCACTTACACTCGTTCGATAAAAATAAAGATTATGCCTCCCGATAGTCAATATCCCGATGGTATTCGGATCATCCGGGTCTGAGAATTTAACGATTTATTTCGGTTCTAATAATTTTTGTGTAGAGGATCCCGAAAAGGACCTACGATGGATGCTCACAGCTATGATTGTTTAGATAATTTCGCGAATTAATATTCAGACGATTATGATTATGAAATTCGTGTTTGAATAAAAGAATTTCGTTGAATTTGGGAAACGAATCCGCACCGAAACTCCAACATTTTAATTAGCTTGAGATATCGAGAAGGCACCCTGTGGGTATTAAATACCGATTCCCCGAGGGATCTTTCGGTTTCTGACGGGATCATTTTTGTAATAATTAATTAATATCTAGCGAAAGGAGCTATGTAGAAAGTATAGGGTTTTTCGGGTCCATCACATCTGTATGAAGTTACTAAAGGTGCTGCCGCACATTCACCAAATTAATATTAAATTGCTGCAAGAACTAGAACGAAATTTTTGAAAATCATTGGCACCTTCTGCAAATTTATGAATAATTTATGAAGAGTTTTAGCACGTCCACCAAATTTTAAAAAATACTGGAGGAGTTCGACAGCTTTCAACAAATTTTGATAACAAAAAAATGCACCTAGAATTACAGAATTCAGATAAAGCTCTACAAAACAATATTATTCTGTTTATAAAATAAAATCTTTATTTATTCGGGTTAAACGTTTATCTGGGTGAATTTGGGTAAATTTTAATCATGAAGATTGGTTTTGAATGGATTCCTGATGATCCATTTTATTCTTCTATTTTACAGAGGGCATATATCACTCGTTAACGATTGTCTTTGTCTGCGAAATAAATCTAATTTAAATACGGTTACCTCTGTTTTTGATACTTCTTTAGAAAAGGGGAATTCGCGACGACTGAAGCAAATGGAAATGAGTGCTTTAATGAGTGCAGTAAATGAAAATTCTAATTGAAGACAATTTGTTCCTCAAGTAATTGATAGTACGTTATTTCGTTGAACATAATTGCACAATTCGAATTAATGTCGAATAAATGTCGTTTTATTTTAATTACACAAGAATGATATCTACTAAACCTCAAAGTTTTTCCTTTTTACTATCCATGTATTTTTATGTATGATTTTATACAGTATTGCTGGTTTTTAGTTAACCAAGGCCAAATGAAATAATTTTTCATCTATGAAGAACAATATTCCTTTATAAATGTCATTAAAACCAGATTTATCATTCCTTCATAATTTTAATGTCCCACTAAAAATCATAATTCACGATAAACAAATATGATAGTTATGGTCGTAAATTCATTTCGCGGTCTACTAAAATGAAAAATTTCCAACTGTTACATAAAATCGTCCCGAATGAGAATATTTTATTTCTTAATTCTCCTTTCTATACTCTCTTGCGGCTCCAAAATGCCATCAATTAGCTCCCTAACCCACAGATTATACGGGATCCCGTTCGAGCCAAAAGCAGCCCTTTTCTAAGACACAGTTAAGCTTCTATCTGAGATTTAACCTTCGAATTCTAGAATTGGAAAGTGTACTCGTAACTACATACTGGCTGAAGATTTCGCATACGTGGAAATCACATCAGCAATAATATAATAAAATCCTGTTTTATCTGAACACATTTTCACCAATATTATTCTTTATCGTTTTTAAAACTAATTCACTAATTCGTTGTTTGTGCGTTCAAGTCATGAAAAATGTAAGAAGGCTATTAATTTAGTGGAGAGTTGTGGTTGCTTTATTGTGGTAACTTTATAATTTGATGCTTAAATAATCTAAATAAAAATTTCGGAGAACCTTTATTGGCTAGGAACAAAAACTATTTACAAAAACTATTTACTTTCTTTTATAGATTCATATAAAATTTCCAATACTAATATTCAAGTTTAAGAGATGCTAATTTATGAAAGTTGAGATCAACGATAATAAAATTTAATTTATTTATCTAGACAAGCGGCTTGGTATAGGAGTTGCAAAAACAATTCGAGCCGTTGTAAGTAAATAAAACTTCGAAAATGGGAAAGTGTAAAATTGATATAAATCAGTTTTTTTAATATTTGGACCAAAATAATAATTTTCCGGGATTAGAAATAACGATTCCGTACATAAAGTAGTATATTAAATAGAATTTAGTAATATTATCTGTTCAATTGGGATCTGTTCAAAAGGGATTGCTGCCTAAAAAAAAGTCAGCAATCAGTGACTTAATATTGGCTCCAGGTCTATTATTATTACTGTAATATACCAAACGGCGCCGAAGTGTAATCGATAAAGGAAACCCGTCTTAGGGAAACCTTAAATTCGGCATCGAACCATCCCGGTGTTATCTGGGAAGAACCGGTTGGAATCAGCAGTCATTGCGAAAAGCCGCCTCTTCTGCGTCCCCGGAGAGTGTTAGATTCTTTTTGTGGGCCATGACATTCAGAAACCCTCGCGTTTCTTTTGAATTTTCTCTCCCCACAGTTTTTCATTTTATTTCCATCCGGCATTTATTTTTATTCCGGTCGGCTTTGCATATACACACTCAAACAACAACAGTAAGAGATAATCAAATCAACGCCGGAGAAAAATGATGAATGAGCCGACTCGCTTTCAAATCGATTAACCTGGCACTTCCGAACTTATTAGACTCTGCATTTCCGTGAAGTAATCTGTTTTTTCGATAGCAATTTTCAAAACTCCATGATAAGATCATTAAATTCTGATACACAACCCCATTTCGCGTAATTTATAACAGTAGATAACGTTGACAATGTGAACTTTTGATATTGATATTAATTGACGGGAAAATTCAAGACAAGAAGCGATCGTTACTTAAGCGAACGAGGCGGTAACGAGTTTCTCGAGTTTTTGATTAAAAATAAAACGACTTAAAAGTATTTTTTTACCTGTTTTTATTTGTAGAAATCAATTTCTATTGCTTTAAAAAATTATCGTATCTAATTGTTTGTTCGACAATGATTATTTTATCGATCTTTAAAATAAAATTTAGTATTTTTTCTTCGCTCTCCAAACCACCAGCAAGTATCAAAAAGACCTTTGATTTATCCCGGCGGCGAGTTCTATAATTCTAAATCCCACACTTTATCTACCTCCGAAAAAAATAAAAGAAAAATTTGAAAAGGATTTTTCCGTCGCTATAGCAATTTTGAATAATTTTCTACGGCGCTGGCGGAGACATCTGGGCGGTTTTTCTTCATTTAAATATCGCGTCAACGTGAAACGGCCACGTTTTCTTAATTTATAGTAGATCGAAGAGTGCATCTCCTTTGGAGAAGACTTAGCAGGAAATCTTGATGTATGTAGATAGGAAAATCCTAACGGTATTTTCGAGAGGCCGCTGATACGTGATCGATATAATTCATCGGTGTAAATGTCATCCTCAACATCTAAAGCAGATTTACGATAAATTTTTGTTCTAATATTTTTCAGCCTTTACTTAAAATTATCTAATGTTATTTTACTACACTCCTATGGATTAAACTATTTGATTCCTTGACATTTGTATATTCTATATTATCTCCTGTTTGTAAAGCATTTGAATATTCAACATACAATACACCTTTATTGAAGCCGGATTAAATGTAACAATATAAATGATAATTAATAATATCGAGACTATTCCATTTATTCCCATAACTATGTAAATTGTAGATGGATTACAAAAGGGTACAAGAATTTGCTCATTAATTATTTTAGATATTCTATCGATTTGTAAATGTATTTGAAACTTATGCAAATTTTCTAAATTTATAAAATTTTGATAGATTCATCAATAATTTTCGTATATCAGTTTACACTCTGCAGGTTTATTGGAATTTACCGATACGATAAAACAGCAGGGAAAATGTGTAATGTATCCCTAGGAGATAATACAAACCTCTCTCCTTTCTCCCACAATCCAATCGCAGCACGTTCCATTATTAGCGTTTATGTGCCAAGGCATATTAAATGGAATAAGAAATGGGGAATCCATGCTGAGACGCTAAGAATGTCCAGAGAGTGTAAGGTTGCGGCGATATTGCGAGGTGTCAGAGCAGCCATTAGGCGCGCCATTGTCAGTTTATCATATCAAAAGATATCTGCATATTTGAATTTATATTATTCGGGACTCAAGGTACCATTATCGGTCGAGATGGAAGAGCGTAGACCTAAATGGCTGTTGGTAAGATTTCTTATAGTGCCGTTAGGTATAAAAGAAAAAGCTTATTATACAAATAGGATTACAAGAATGTATTGTATTAGAAGAGAGTAAAATTAGGAAGATGATAATATTTTATCATCTTCCGTCACAAAATTTAATTTAACATTTTTCGACTTAAATTGCTTTGCTATAATAGTAATTATAAAGCACTACAATCACTGAATACGATATCAAAATGATAATAAATAATAAATTTAACAATAGTTGAAGTTTTCTTTTCCCATAGGTTGAACCCGCAAAAAAGAAATAAACTTTACGCGCTTTACAATGTCTTATAATTTTTTAATTGCTCTTGCAAGGATCTCGCAATCTTCGAGAGTGTTTCATCTATCAAATTCGTGGGTATATCTAAATCGAATTAACTGTCTAACCTTTTCTGTAAATTACTTCAGTGTGACGTGCTCCTTTCCTGGTGATTTCAACTCCGTAACTTCATTTGTTAATTTCAAACTCTTATATTTCGTTCTTTTAGGTATACTTGTGTGTAGCGGAGGATGAGGTATTAGGATTAGATATTAGGTGTTTTTACCAAATGATGCTATTTTTTTATAATGGCAACAATGCTATATGCAATTACAGCCCCTCTAAGAATCAGACTTTTAGAACTGACTTTAAAAATAAACCATAAAAGCTAAATAAAATGTTTCAAGGACACTATTTTATGAGGTCCTTACTAGTGTCCAACATATTAGATTTTTATTAAATTATTTCAAGAACTTTATTAGAAGATATTTAAGGAAATCTAATTTCCAGTGGTGTTCTTTAGTAACGCATATCTTCGTAGGGAGAGCTTGTAGTGAAGAACTTTATAGAAACTTTATAAAGATTTTCCACACTTTGCAAGACACCCTGTATCAACGAGAGAATCAAGCGATAGGTGTTGTCGTATTCGCTTTTATTTTTTCGAAGATTTTACTTTTCAATTAAACATCATGAAATAAATTTTTATATTTGATAGCTTCGAAATTTTCTTTAATTAACCATTTGATCGAAAGTGGATGGCGAATTTTTACTGTGACTGCAGTATAATTATACGATCTCGAAGAGGAGCTTAAAGATTACGAATTTACGACAACAATCGTATCGAAGGAATAAAGCTTCCGTTACTGGAAAATTGATGAAAATTTTATATTGGATGAATTAATAACCGAGATTATCTGATTCGAAATTTAATGGAACTCTTTTGTATCGAACGCAATGGATACGGTAATTAATTATAGGAAATATAGGATGATAAGAGATTGAAGGGTCGGTAAATAATGAATACAATACGAATTTTGTAGATATTGGTTGTTTAAAAATTTCAGAGACATACTTCAATAATCTCCTTTTTTTATTTTTTATTTATTGTTTAAGATGGTTCATAATATTTGTAAATTTTGGTGGACAAATTCTTAATTATCTTGCCAACGAACTCGTAATATTTTAAAATTTGGTGAAGAAATTCGAAATTGATAATGGACTCCATTATGTTTCTAAATTTTGATGGAGTACCTAATTCACAATTACTTAGCCCACCAGCTCAAAGAACTTAATTAAATTTTGGTGAAGGAATGAATTTGCAAGAACTTTGCCAATGAGCTCTACGGAGTATTTAAATTTTGGTGGAAGAATTTCTAATATGCCAGATCTGTTGTTTTCGAATGGTGGTGAATAAATTCGGAATCATTTTACAATGACCATATAGTCTTTAAAATTTATCATTATTTTTTTTCTTATTACCTATTTGTTTGGAACGTGCAAGCATTTCTGCTCTTGCGACATATATCTAATTTTCTAAAAAGTAATGGTTCATTTACGGTGCGTTTAAATTGAGTGGATGCGCATCGGACGCCGAAACCGACACGGTATATACAATATATTGTGTAGAGGAAGCCAGGCATGCAGCTGACAGCTCGTATAGCTCTTGAAAAGACAGATTGCCAGCTACATACTTGATTATTAACCGGTAGCGGTTCGAATTAAAATCGCCCTGCTACAGAACCGGTCGATTCCAATTGGATCGATTTAAGTTACTCGATAACTTTTGATTTACAAAAAGTGAAGTGGTGAAAATAAAATCGCATTGTTAGCGATTCTAAACGACTGTATGATCATGTATATTTTGGTACCCCGTCAAAATGTTAATTGTAAATCATATCGCATATCGAGAAACAAAGCTCACTTTATATTTAAATTGTTTCAGCTTTACCGAGAGAACCACCAAAAATCGACGGACTCGCCAAAACGTACGTGGATGGCGATTCATTTAATGCTAAATGCACTTCGGATTACGCTGATCCCTAGCCCATATTGACTTGGAAAATCAACGATTTGGATGTAAGTCTATTTAATCGTGTTAATATAATTATTTTAAATGGTGTATGTAGGTACTTACATGAGGTTTCTATAAGAGCCCATCATAATAACGCATTAAAATTTCCTTTAACAATAGGAAGCTATATGATAAAGCTTAAAGCAGGGACGTAGCGAGAGAGGTGTCATATTTTGCAAAAATTAAACCGTTTCATGAACATGTCTTAATAATATACTGCAAAAATACTACAAATGTTATACAGTATACAGTATACAGGAAACAGTATACAGTTTTCAAGATTCGTGTACTAAACGTCGAAAAAAACTCATCCTGTATAGTAATGGATCCTTTATAGTTGAGGCCCGTATTCAGCACATCACTTTAACTTTAGCCTGACTCTAAAGTCGCGTCTCTATTTCTCAGTTACTCCCAAACAACAATGTATAACTGATGTCAAGTTAAATACGCGACTTTAGAGTCACTCTAAAGTTAAAATGAGCTCTGAATAGGGGCCAATGTTTCCTTTACGATTGATTCTTCATGAAATCGGCCATAAATTTTAGCACCGGAATATAGAATAGAAAAGGTTCGGAATTTTGGTTCAAATTGCACATTATGAAAATGAGTAAATTGTATTGTTTACTTGATACATTCAAGATCATTTATGTGGGGTATTTCTAGTTTGATAGGCGATTGAAGTTAATTTTTATAAAAAATTTTTACTAAATAATGAATAATATAAAGAAAATGGACGAGGAAATAAAACAGTTTCCTGCTATTCATTATTTTTCATTGTGGGCATATTTAAAACTATAAGATTCGTTATCTTGGTACCAACTCACGGAGAAGAAGATTAGCCTGAACATTGAAGGGAATTTTCGTAAAAGACTAAAAAGAAAACTCTAAACAATGTAAGTATGTAAATCCAGAAGCTCTGAAGTAAGTAGCATTGTAAATTTGCGAATAAAATACCCCGCAGTAGTTTATTATTTAGTAAAAATTCCTCTGTTAAAATACGAGGGACGATATAAAACGAGATCGACTTATATCAGCCGGAGTGCCTTTTTGGTTTTTATGTCCGGACGGACGTCGGGTCACAATAAAAATCCGGAAATGACGATTTTCTTTTAAAACGGCAGTCGTCGTTTCGCTTCGAGATGGAATTCGCGAACTTGAGAAAAACGATTAAATAAGCTTCTCTAAAGCAGGTTAGTTAATTGGACGAGTTGCTTTAACAAATATCGCTGTTCCTGTTGGAAACTACTCTCTTGAAAGGAAGTTATCTCATATTATTAACCGAGCGAGATCTGCGTGTGAACGCTTTTATACAGGGTGTCCGGAAATTTAGGTTACAAACTACGGGGTTATAGGGGGTGAATTTTCAAGCATTTTGAATACAGGAACTTCGGGTCGCCGAGCATTCCTAGCAGCGCTAGGCGTCGTTAAAGATGGACCGTCAAAGAGGACCAGGACACGTGCCATGACCTCCGCGATCGCCCGATTTGATGCCCCTTGTTTTTTTCCGTTGAGCCGCATGAAAGCGTTAGTTTACCGAGGCAAACCCATCCAAGACCACGCAGAGCTTGGTCATTTAGAAAATATGATGTTTAATTAAAATGTTATTGAGTTTGGATGGAAGCATCTTTGACGATGCCTAGTGCCCCTTGAAGACGCCGGCGACCCCAAGTTCCTATGTTCAAAATGCTTGACTAATAACCCCCTACAGCCACCCGGAGCTTGTAACCTGAATTTTCGGACACCCTGTTAAATTTATATTTGAAATTTGGTTTTTTAAATGGTTTATTCCGGCTAAGTGGGATTCATTTTTGATATTCGGAATAACATTCTAAATTATGGTGAAGTTTATAAGCTTTTAAAATATTGGTGGAAGACACTGTTTGCGTTTTTATTTGTTTGCAAATTTTTGTTAGTGAACAAACGAGTTTGTAATAATTTTAAAAATATGGATGAAGAAAACACAATAATTTTATTACAATTATTTGAATGGATTTTTACGGCAATTATTTTTACATCTCTATTTTGCTCTGCTGGAAATCTTTTAACCTCTTTCAATGCGTAAGTTAAAGGGTGTTAATTAGTTGAGTGCTGATACTTCAGAATGTTAATATTTGAAGGTTTTAAGAAGAAAAGTTTATATTATATATGTCCCAAACCTCTTAGTTTTCGAGCTACAGGGTGTTACTGTTTGCAGGCGTTTCAATACAAATATGTAATGAATATTGCACGAACAAATGCGATCGAGATCACTGGAACCGTTTTAACCTATAGTATAATAGTTTCAAAATAACTGACCATGACTAATGGTTTAGTCGAAAACCAATAAAAAGTAGCGGCACATGCTAATAGTGGCTAGAATAATGGTAAAATTTCGGTCTTTAATAAAAATATCGGTGTTTTTACCGCTTCCTTAAAAAATTACCAGTTTTACTTTAAAGTGCAAATATTTACGGGAGTAAATTTATATTACTATCTCTATCTGTTTTACTATATCTATATAATACCATCTCTTTCTTTTCTTTTTACAACGAGACCGGTTTTTATCAGCTGCTTATCTATCGACTCCGAATCGACTCCGAATTGACTCTGATATTCGCTTAAATAGAATAAAACCGAAGCGTATCGATGAATTGGTTTTATATTCTAATAATTAATCAGTCGTTATTATTAACGTTATTAATATTTAACTAATACCATGAGACCTATAAAATTATTCAATATTTTATTTAACATTTTATTTAAATTAAATAATAGTTTGTGAGTCCTATTTAATGTTAATTTCGCGCCACTGGTATTTTACCTCTCGCACTCCTCAAACCCGCAACGATCCACAAGTTGAAAAATTAGTCATGGTCAGTTATTAAGATCCCAACGTATAATAACATTAAGGTGCCCACAGACTAGGGTACATGTATGTCATACTTGTATGTCATACATGCTTGACGTGCATGTATGACAACATGTTTTACCCACAGACCTACACATTATTTTATCAAACAAGTTAGTTTGGAAGTACACGATGAGCAGTGAAGACGATTAAATATTATTAGCAGTGGCTTACGCTGCCTTAATAAAAAAGAAACAAAATCGATTAGTTAAAAAGCCGTTTTGAATTTTCTATTTTCTTCATTTCTCTTCGGAAACTGCTTCACATACTATTTATTTTAGCTTTTACAGTGCTTTTTGTTGAATGTGGTTCAATTTATTGTATTTTTTTAATAATAATGCATACGCTGCATATTTTTTATTGCAATTTTTGTAATCAGTAGGTACTCTTGTTTTTCCATAAACAAGGATAACTTTTATAAAGTTCGATGAAATCAATTAGAAAGTTATTTGTAAAGTATCTTAAATCCGCCATTATAAAATCGCAGAAAACAGAGTTTTACTAAAAAGGCGCAAGACGCTGTACTCAAAATGTATTCGAACGAATACTGAGACTTCGCCATACACCGACAATCTTGTATGACATACAAGCTTGTGCATACATGATTTTCGGCCAAATATGAAAACTTGTGCGTCGAACATGCTTGCGGTATTTTCGCCACACACTGGCGAATAAGAACGCGCAAGCATGTATGACATACAAGTATGACATACATGTACCCTAGTTTGTGGGCACCTTTATCAGAGTAGATAAGTCGGCAGTAATTTTAAAAATCAGGTATAAAATTTTTTTGGTTCTAAACAGATATACGTGCAGTTTATTTGAGAAAATCGGATAAAACCCTTTTTATGCGATTCCTTATCGAGTTGTAATCCATTTATTGTGAAAAAAGTACGAAAACATTTCGATAATTGACTATTTATATTTTATGGGTATTCTTGTCATCCAGTATGGGTTTCGATAGGGCGAATTTTATTGAGAAATCAATAGAAAAAACAGCCGCCTGCAGCGGGGAAATTGTTTTCGATAACGCCGTTTTGGATAATGCCTTGAAAAATGATGACCGGATAATATAAAAAAAATGTGGAGAAAAATTCCATCAAATAAACGGTTTAATTGCTCCGATTTTTTTATCAGATTGCAACAATCGAAAATGATAGCATAATTTTAAAAAGTGGTTAAAATATTATAGATTTTTGCTGCTTTTTTGTTTATTATATTATAGGTTTTTGATGGTTTTAACAGATATTAATGGAGGATAATAATTTTTCTTGTTTTAATAATATTTACCGATTTATTGTAGCTTTCATTGGTTTTTACTGTTTTTATTATTTTTTTTTTACAACTTTCATTTGATTTTTATAAAAAGTTACAAACATCAAAGACTTGAAAATCGCACGAATTAAGTTTACGGGGTGGTTTTCTCTGATATGTTGATTGCTTATGTCTCTTATGTGTATTTTTTTATGAATAAATATAGGTAAACGATAACTTTTCTTAGAATAAATTTGTATCATTGCAACGTTTTGGAACTGTCTGCAATTATTGCCGACATTCTTATATTCTTTAATTTATTGCAAATCGATTTCGGCAATATTTTTGTTTCTGTTCGATAAAATGTATCGAAGGAAAAAGTTGATTTATACCTTCGTATTATCGGGCAATAGTCCAGAATGGGCTTCAAACTAAAAACTACATAAAATCATTAATATCTATGTATTGTCCTACAAATATTATAAAAACTACTTGAATACAATTGACTTAGGTATACTATAATTTTACCCATTCAATTTTTTACTATTCAATTCTGCAATAAACAAGTGTGCTTGTTTTCTCGAAAATTTGGTTTACTTTGCAGAGTCGACCCTGGTTCTCATATATTGAGTAAAAATATTGCAGGACATCCAGCAATTTTAGCTGTCAGTATATGTTATTCAAGAATTGATACTTGAATAGGTTAAATTTATATCCGTTTTATTCGAAACGTAAATCAAAAATAACAAATAAACGCGTCGACATTCCGGTCTATAAAGTATCGCACTGCACTAAAAGCACCTGTGAAGTATTCTCACTTAGAAGTCCCGG